GGGGGGGGGGAGAGTGGGGAGAAAATGGTATTGAAAAAAAAGGTTAAAACAGCATTTAGAAAACTGACAATATGTTACATTTAAAAAAGTCCTCCTGTGATTAAATTAACACAACTGTCCACCTGCTCTTTACCTGAGTATTTAGAAAACAGACATATTCACTATCCTCTTTACCTGTGTATTTAGAAAACAGACAGACACTTTACCTGTGTATTTAGAAAACAGACAGACACTTTACCTGTGTATTTAGAAAACAGACAGACACTTTACCTGTGTATATAGAAGACAGACATATACACTGTCCACCTGCTCTTTACCTGTGTGTAATAAAGTAACGATCAACCTGTAATAATTATGCTGAATAGAAGGACATAACTCTTCTAAGACTAGCACCCTATTGATTATCATGGTTGCATCCCCTTTTGGCCCCTTGTCTGTTGTGTAAATCTTCAGAATAAAGATCAGTTCCGGTGCACCAATGATGGCCGCCCCCTTGTCTTCAAAGAGCTGTGTGCTTGTAATGGACAATCAAAGTCAATCTCTTACAGTTTGGCGACGAGGATGGTCTGTTCTTATTTTGTATGATACTGGACCTGGCTGGATTGAACTTTGGGAGACCCACTGCGTTTACATTATGAATGCACACTACTAGCCCTAACTACAGTGGGGAGTTTCAGGGGGCTTGTTGCCCCTGGAAACAATAATAAATAAAAAGACTCACATTTTTTGTGTAGATCTAGATCTAGTCTCTAGATCATAAATGTAAACCTATAACATAAGAGCGGACCATTGCACAGCTAGGCTCAAAAGTAGATTAGTTCCGGCCTCGTTCAGTGTTGGCAGTGTTGGGGTAATTGTTTCCTTCCTTGTGTTCACTTCCCGGGGAGGACTTCCATAGCGAAGGACCACAGCTGAACTCTACGGATATCTATCTATGGCCATCAAAATCAGTACGAAAGGTCTAAACTTTAGGCTAAAGCCAGTATGTTACAAGACTTAGATTTAGATTTAGATCTACCTAACAAATGATGAAATTGCCGTGGTTTACGTATTCTTAATCCCAATGCAAAGTTTTGAATATTCAGTCGGGGAAGCATAGAGTCTTATCTAGATCTAGATCTAGATCTAAATCTAGTCGCGGCCGGAATTAAACGCGAGAAAGTAAACAATTGCCAGTGTTGGGTCCACCAAAGTTCAATCTTACCCTGGGTCTGAACATACTTCACAAATATGTCCATGCAACCATTTCTCGCCCTTTCCAAAGTTCCTGACATACACACTGTCATCCATCCTCATCTCTCTTTCCCTGGCTGTTTTGTCATGATTGAGTTTTTGTGATTGCTGGTGTTGTATGACAGTGTGTTGTGATTGCTGGTGTTGTATGACAGAGTGTTGTGATTGCTGGTGTTGTGTGACAGAGTGTTGTGATTGCTGGTGTTGTATGACAGAGTGTGGTACAGTTGGGTGGAGAAGATCAAGGTATGTCTTTAGTTTTCTACCACAAAGTAGATCTAGTTCACAAGATGGACATGTGGAGTGACATGATATTTGGTTAAAAATCTGTTCATGCTCTCTGTAAGAGAAAACTTGTTACCCATTTTGATAATGGAACTTTTGAAGGTGCCAACAGTCTTCTCTGCAAAGCCATTACCGGCTGGACGATATGGCGAAGTGGTTATGTGTTATGAATGTGCTCAATGTCATTTGCAGCACAAAGCAATTTGAATTCTTGAGAGGTAAAGCTTAGACCATTGTCAGAGACAATTTGGTCTGGCAGGGCCATGGTAGGAAAATAGTTCCTTCTGCTCAATGATGGTGTCAGATGTGGTGATTGTGTTCATGACTTTTACTTCTAGCCACCTGGAATGGGTAACCGGTCATTTCGTCACACGGTCATCTCGTCACATCCCAGTTATGTGCCACGAAATGACTTCGCTTATATATCTCTCCAAAAGCAGAGCTTTGGAGGATCAGCCTAAAGCTTTTTTTTTTTCGAAGTTAAATAAATTATTAACGTAAATTAAATCTTCGTCCAAACTGTTCTGTAGTTCAACAATATAGCAAAAATAATGTCTGGTAAAGAATTAATAAGGCTTTGTTTGAAGCAAAATTGCAGTACCGTACATTTCTATTGTAAAATATTTTAGGGGCCTAGCTAATTTATTTTTATCAGAACTATTAAGATATAATATTGTTAATCACACCTTTCATCAATAATAAAACGGTACGGTACCTAAAACTTTTGTTGATCTGACTCGACAGATTTCAATATAATTGTCAATGCATATATCATTTATGAATGGTGTAGCTGATCAGGTGGGAACGACGACTCGCACAGGCCCAACCCTCCCCCCAAAAATCATGACTTGCGACTGCCACGACAATGCGCGTTTAATGTTTGCAAATGTGCTACGAAATGACCGTCTCCATTCAACCTTGTGGATTTGTGGTGTGACGAGATGACTGTGGCATCTTGACTGCACCAGTGTGACGAAATGACCGTATGATGAAATGACTGGTATTACCCTTGATCCCCACAAAATGCATCCATTCTCAAGACTGAGTTCCAGTTTCCTGTGTTTATAAGGTTTAAAGTTTTCATGCACCTCTCTCTCAGGCCAACCATGCGAACAGTACTCATATACTTTGCTCAGACATTCATCACTTTCTGACTCTTTTGCAACATCAGAACAGTTGCATTCACACTTGAGTTTTCAATGACACTGAACAACATTTCAATTTCTTCAGGTACATAGTCTGAACATCTGTCTTCTAGAAGTTAACGACTCAGTGCATCTGCACTGTTCTGGGCGCCTGGCCTGAGTTTAATTGGTCGTCATAAGCTGCAAGAGTGACGGCCCATCTTGTGTATTTAGAAGACAGTGTGTGAGTGCGTGTGAATGTGTGTTAGAGTGTGTATACGTGAGTGTGTGAGTGCGTGCCTGTGTGAGTGTGTGTGAGTGAGTGAGTTACCTCCATCATGGTGTCCAGCCTCCTCTCCTCCTCCATCATCTCCTTCTGTATCATGTCTTTCTCCAGGATCTGGGCGTCCCTGATGGCGTGGCACTTGGCGTTCAGGATCACCTGAGTGGACGGGAAACACGAGACAGGTGAAAAATCTTTGCTTGAACTTGCCGCGGGCACTGTCCTTTTCACAAAATCATTTATCAAATTTTAATGGATGGAAAATGAATATAAAGACAACTTTAGCGAAAGGAGGTTAATAAAAACATAATACACTTTTATTTTGTTCATCCTTATTTCTAGATTGACTTGCTGCCCACATGGCAGAACCTGTGTTATCAACCAGCTAAAATATAATAAATCTAGTAAATAAACTAACAGAGAGAAAGAAAACATTGCTCATGAATTTGTAGCCAGATCCAAATAATTTTTTTCAGAGCTATAAACGCAAATCAAAATATCCTTAGAGTCAAAATTTGCACCATGTTGGTTCAATAGTTCTAAAGTCATCGGCACAAAAAATGTTTTCCCATCTGAAACATGCGTCATGTGCAGAAAGCTGACCTCATTCAGGTGCTTGATTTCATCCTCTTGCTCCTGCCTCATTTCGTTGGCCTTGGACAGCAAATGCTCCGCCTTTTCTTTTGCTTCCTCCTCCAGATCGTTCAGTTTGGCGTTCTTCTGACGGGTCACGTCCAGCTGCTTCATCTGGTTCTTCCTCTCTTGGGCCTCGTCCTGGGGGGAGGAGGAAACACTGGAATTTTTGTACTCACAGTTGGAATTGTACACACAGTGGGAACTGTACCCGCTGTTGGAACTGTACACAGTTCTCTTTCTCTTGAAATGCTTCAATTGTGGTACGTACCTTTTGTGACACAACGTTTTTGCCACACATACATGATATGTTTTATCACACATATACAGGATACCCTATTCTCTCCTTCTCTCTCTCTTACCATAGCTCTCTCTTTCTCTCATACTCCCTCCCTCACTCCCCCTCTCTCGCTCTCTCTCTCTCACCATAGCCCTCTCTTTTTCAGCTTTCCTTTCTTTCTTTTACTCTCTCTGTCTCTCTCTCTTCCTCCCCCCC